CAATTTGATGTTTTTTCATCTGGTGTATTCCATCTGGTGAAGTCCATGTGTATATTTGTCTCTTATGCTGTCTAAAGAAGGTATTTGAAATGAACAAGTCACTGATTTTGCAGAATTCTATCATGTGGTCTCCAGTGTCATTTCTATCACCAAGGTCGTATTTTCCAGCTACTGATCCTTCTTCTTTGCTCCCAACCTTTGCATTCCAGTCACCAGTAATGATTAATACATCTTGACTGCATGTTTGATCAATTTCAGATTGAATGAGTTGGTAGAATTCTTCTATTTCATCCTCACTGGCTTTGGTGGTTGCTATGTAAATTTGAATAATGGTTGTAGTAACTGGGCTTCCCTGTAGGCACATGGATATTAGCCTATCACAGGTCTGTCAGTTTGCCGTACTTTGATGGCTTGTGAGTTGCTGTGATTCTGAGGGCTATGCCACCAGAATTTTTAATACCAGCAGGGTCACCCATGGTGTACAGGTTTCAGATGAGCTTCCAGACAAAGACAGACTAGGAAGAAGGAGTGACAAACTACTTCCGATTATTTAGTCACTGAAAACCTTATGACTAGCAGAGAAACACTGTCAGATAGTGTGCCAGAAAATGAGCCCCTCAGGTTGGAAGACACTCAAAATGCAACTGGGGAAGAGCTGCCTCCTCAAAGTGGAGTTGACCGTGATGACACGAATGGAGTAAAGCCCGTGAGAGAAAAGCCTGCAAGACCTCCATTTGCTGATGGGGCACAACTCAAAATGACGAAAAACAGCTGTAAACATCCATTGAAAATCAGAACATGGAATGTACAAAGTATGAATCTAGGAAAAATGAAAATTGTTATAAATGAAATGGAATGCATAAACATCGATATCTTAGGCATTAGTGAGCTGAAATGGACTGGTATTGGCCATTTTGAATCTGACAACCACATGGTTTACTATACAGGGAATGACAAATTGAAGAGGAATGGTGTTGCATTTATCATCAAAAAAAGCCTATAGGCGTAAAAATCTTAGCTATGTAGGTGAGACAGTTCTGAAGATCACAAAGTTCCTGGGTAGTACAAGCTGTTTTGCTTTTTCACTGCTGGAGGTTCAAGGCCACACAGAGGTGTGGTCCTGGTGATTCACATTCAATAAATCAGCCACTGAAAGCCCTGTGGCCAAAAGCTGTCCTCTGGCATACATGGCTCACCATGACTCAGAATCCAGTTAACAGTTACTGTTTACAGGGGTTATTCTTAGAACTCATTAGTGGTTTAATAGTAGAATTCTGGTCTTCCAGCACTTTCTCTAAACTGCTTCCCAAGATGCCTCCGTGATTGTCTTGTGTCCTTTGAGAAAAATCTATCAAAATGACCCCTTGGGAGTCCCAAAAAACAGTCGCCAGACCCTTCTGAGCTGACCACTCTGTCTTGAACTGAACTAGCCCCCTCGGAAGCCACTGTTCTGACTGGACCGGCTTTGCAAGGTCCCCTAACGAGCTAAGTGAACGACCAGAGAACTTGTCTGCAGCCGTCCACCAATCACAGGCATGTTTACACCCGTTCTGTTTGCAAGAAGCCTGTGTCTGTATGAATGGGAGCTCTGGAGAGGCCTTTCCCGGTCACCCTCATAAACACATTGTTGTAGTTGTTGTCGTTAAGTGCCGTGAAGTCAGTTCTGACTCACTGCAACCCCGTATAGGGTTTCAGGAGAGCAGCTGGTGGGTTTGAACCGCCGACCTTGCAGTTAGCAGTCTAGTGCTGATCCCACAGCGTCACACCAGGACTCCTCATAAACACATACACATTTACACACACCTGTGGTGCCTGACGCCTCATATGCACATACACATTTACACACACCT